ATATGTCATTTAAACTAAAGCTCTTACTCTTTTAGTTATTGAAATATTAATTGTTATATCACTTGCTGTAGGTATTTATCCCAGTTATGTGTGAAAGAGAATAAAGATGAAGTGTATGGAATTTTAGACCCTCAACTCATTCAACCACTAGGTAATAAGAAACCACAGACAAACATATATTACAAATAGTATTTTATCGAGAAACAAATATTTATTTTACAGCATATGTTTATGAATAAGTAAATTATATTTATAATTTATTTTCAATCAATTCCAATTTTAACTATGATTGACAACACAAATGCATAGTTTTGTCATTACACAAAAAGTCACCACTATTCCTTAAACAAATAGTAACAAAATTTTGTTTTTTTTTTTATAAAAATTATACTTTCAGTTATATTTTTATTTATGTTTTAACTAAGTGTATATTAGTATTTATTTTGGATATAACATAATGAACGGTAGGTTAAGTGGAAAACTACAAAAAATCACCTGGTTGCATCTAAAAGTATAATATATAATATTTATTTTGGTTTATTTTTGTTACTAACAAACTAATTTAAGTTTTATATTTTGACAAACAATGTAACAAAAATATATGGAGGATATGAGTGTGGTTATTGTGTAATATAATGGATAACAATCATTATCTAGGAATGATAAAGCGGGTTAGATTTGACTGGTCGACTTGTCTAAAAAATGGAAAGGCATGTTGGTGGTTTTAACCCACTAACTTGATGGGTCAAGTGCAAGGCGGGTCGGGCTAGTTCACTGGGTCCATTTAAAAAATATATTTATATATTAAAATAAGAATAAAAATATTATAATTAAAAATATTATGTATTTTTGTGTTATGTTATTGAAATATATAAATATATTATAATATTATAATTTAAATTATAAAAATTAATTAATTAAATTTAAATTATTGATTATAATTAATTATTTTGACACATAAATATTTTTTTAATTTATCTAATAAAAATATTAATTAATAACTAAAAAACTTATTTTAAAAACACATAAAAATATTTATATAAAAAAACTTAACTGGGTAATCTACTGGCTCGTTTTATCATCCTTACCATTGTCTAATATTTACTATATATAAAAAATTATTCATTACATTGCAGTTTTTTATAGACACATCTTCTTCCATGAAAACAAATGTCATAGATTATATTAAACATGGACAACTTACTTCATCAACATGATTAATACATTAGGATAACTTAATTTTTGTTAAAGGAACACTATGTATATGATCATGACTTTATGGTTCAACTTAGGATAATTGACTGATTATTATTGTATATTTAGGATAGTTGACTAATTACTCTTGTATATTTAGGATAATTACTAATTATACTTTTAGGATTTATAATGACTTGATAGGATTTTAGTAAAACTAATATCAGATAGTAAATATTATATATATTTATGATTGTGTATGTATTGTAAATATACTTGAAATTTGTATTGTATTGTATTGTATTGCGTATTCTCAATATGTAGGTAATGAAAAAGAACCTAAAACATATTGTTCTTAAAAAAGATATATACAACAACAATTAATTTCATAACCGTTGTCATATGTATGTTTGACGCAAGGCTTCAACGATGATTATGGTTAAACTCGTCGTTGTATATGACATACAACAACAGGTCTTTATAAATAATTGTAATTGTACGTCACTTGTCAACACCCAATTTCGTCCTGTAACACAATCCTATGTTTAAATAAATAATAATAATAATAATAATAAAACAATAAAAAATACTAATAATTAATGAATAAATAAATTAGCATTAATTTTGCAAAGATGAAAATAAAGATATAAAGGATGAGGAAAATTTTGGAATATTAAAAAATATATATAAATTAAAAAGTGTATTAAATAAAATTAAATATTTTCGTTTTTTATAAAAACATAAAAATATATAAATTTAAATAAAAATACTTTAACCTTCTTATTATCTCTCCTCAGTATTCGAGTTTTAGATTTTATTTTCCTATTTTCGATCCCATTATCTCTCCTCCATTTTTTCTCCTCCCACTTAAAATTCACTCTTTTCACTCACGTTAAATAAATTCACTTTCCCACTTTCACTAACATTAAATAAACTCACTCTCCCACTTTCACTTACGTTAAAAAGAATTCATTTTTCCACTTTTCTTCCCACATACTTTTTTTTAACTTCCCACTACCATCACTTTGAGTCTATAAAAGGGGTTGAGAACACATTAGAAAGGGCACATTTTTTTTTCTTTTTCTGGAGAGTGAAGAGAAAAGGAGAGTAAGAATAAAGAGCAAAAATGTTACAAAGCTATAACATTTTACAAGTAAGTTTTATTCAATTTATCTATTTTATTATTCTCTGTATTGATTTTGAATTATTACACCTTTGTTCCACTTATTAGCTTTGTATTGTCGGGTAGAAATTTGTGTGTGTTTGTTATGAGATGTTAGGTTTAAAAAATAAATAAATAAATAAATAATGCTACTTGTCTTTGTCAGGTTATATGTCACAATGTTAAATTTATATTTGACAAAAAATAATAAACAAATAAGATTATATGCTAAAATTTAAGTTTATTATTTTTAATATAATTTTTACAATATTTAGTAAACTAAAAAACATGTTTAAAAAAAATAACGATTGTAATTTTATGGTTGTATGTTTAAACTTTTGTGTTGTTTATTTAGATATATTAATTAGTTGTTTGATGAAAAATATTAATTGCGTAGATTTATAAACAAATCAAGTTTAAAAAAAGAAGTAAAAAAAAAGTGTTGAATAATTTAGATTTTTTGTGTGGGCCTAAGATTATTTCAATGAGTCTATAATATCCCATCCAACCTAAAAATAATCAATTAGATTTTTGGATCATACAAGACACAACATAATAAAATAAAATATATAAGAGTAAAATGAACTAAAAAGGTTTTTCACTATTGTTTTGGCAATACAACGTATGTTAGTTATATAGACCGGGTTAATTGCACTATAACTAAGGAATTTAAAATTACAGTTAAACATGAGTAACATCTGACTTATTAATCCCAATGTTTCCCCTCTCGTGTTTTAAAAAATAAAAATAAACCTGTATTTGTTTTTATTTTATGTAAGATGAGCTATTTTTTTATTTTCTATTTTAGTACGTGCTTATAATAAAATAATAATAATAATAATAAATAAGTAGTAATAATAAAGTAATAAAAAATAAGATTTTGTTTTTTTCGTAGGATAGTATTTTTTTTTATAACCTATAAATTTAAGTTTAATAAATATAGTCATACAGTATAATTAAATAAATCAATTTAGATAATAATAATAATAATAATAATAATAATAATAATAAAATTTTTATCTTTAAAATCTTAAAAATTATTAAATCTCATGTTGAGTCTCGGTATTTGCTTGTTATTTAACATTTTTTTCCTTAAAAAACTTTAAAAATTATTAAATCTCAAGTTGAGTCTCGGTACTTGCTTGTTATTTAATATTTTTCTCCCTACATAACTTTAAAAATTATTAAATCTCATGTTGAGTCCCGGTACTTGTTATTTAATATTTTCATCCCTAAAAAGATTAAAACAATTACAAAATTTTAAAATAAAATTAAAAACATCAACACACATGTATTTTCTAGATAGAACTACTGATTTTCTACCACAAATGAAAATACATAGGAGCAAGGTCAATACCTTGTCGGGCCCAAATAAATATTTTGACAAATATTTTCCTTAATAAAAAATAATTGTTTAGAATTAGTTCGATAATCACATTATTTTATTTAACTTAAGCGAAAATACAAATATTAAAAAAAATATTTATTTTGCACATTTAATTAAAGGTAACCGTCCTAGAACAAACGTTGTAAGATGCTAATATTCTCCCTACGCATAGTCGACTCCCAAACCTAAATTTGATTTTGTAAACCGCTTTATCTGTTTAATGATTTTTCTGTCGTTTTCCTTAATAAACTATGGTGGCGACTCCTCTGTTTGTTCAAACAATTTTTCACCAATCCCATTGTGACCCTAGTTGCGACATACAATGATGAACTTTTATAGGATAAAGACTCATCGTTATATCTCTTACATATAACGATGATTCCATCAACGACAAATCTTAAATCGACATGATAAACTAAATTTACCGTTGTTAATAGTAATTTATTCAGTGTCAATAAGATTTGCCACCTTTTGAAATTTTCAACTATTGGAGATTGGAAAATCCAACTATTTACTCCAAAATATCTTTACTCTCGAAGCAACAAATTAATTAATCTTTATTTATAATTCAGAATCATGTCCTAGAACTCAAAATATTTTCCCATCTTTTTATCCAAATATAGTCTTATATGTTATGATAATTATACATGTATTATTCTATAAAACATTTTCAACATTTAAGGTAAGATGTGATTTTTATGTTAGTTTTTTTATTAGTAATTGTTTAACATAAAAAATAAAAATATAGAAATATTTTTGAAAATAAAGAAATTTTTTTATATTAAATCTTATATGATTTAACGGGAAATTTGATATATATTTATGGAGTGTTTTCTTTTAATAACACAACTATAATACTAATTTCAATTATTTTTTACTTTCCTCTTCCATATTCTTATCTGTCTCAACTCCTTCCAACCATCACCACCACGATTTTTTTAGGAATTGAGGGGGATCATGATTCTTCCAAAATTTTGTAACTCATATGTAATTTATGATTTTAGTCTCCAAATTTATATTTACAATTTTATCATCTTAGTCTTTCAATTTTGTAATTCTTACATAATTTATAATTTTACCTCCAAACTTAATGATCATTTTATATATTTAGTTATAAATTTACAATTTTATCTCTCCCCTTTTTATCTTCTTTCACCCCTTTATATTTATTTATTATTTTTTAATAATATATTATTTTAACCCAAAATAATGGTTTTGATCGGTCGCTCCCTATGCATGATATCCTTGTTGCGCTCCCTATAATAAACCTCCCATAGTCTGAAATGTTTTGCAACACTTTCGCGAAGCTTCAATCTCCTTCTCCTTCTTACCAATCATTTCGGTCGTCTCGCAACCTCCTACCCTGGCGCAACCACCGTTTGCCAAATTCCACCGGTTCATGTTGGTGAATGTCCCAATCCTATCAATGAAAGCACGAGGGAGATGTTGTGAGCTCAATAAAGAATACATGGTGTCATCTCGCATGAATTCGTGGTAAGGAACTCAGCACAATCGTGAATATTTGCCTATTCAATTTTGGAAGGGATAGAAAGAAAGTAGAAAGAGAGGGACCTGCGTCTCGAAATGTTAAAAAACACATTTAGCCATCGAAATTAGCGACCAAATTTTTTCGGTCGCAATTAGCGACCGATTTAATTTTGGTCGCAATTAGAGACCGATTTAGCGACCACTTTAATTCTGTCGCAATTAGCGACCGATTTAGCGACCAAAATATGATTTGGTTTTCACTTTTTTATTTAGCGACCGAAATAGCGACAAATATTTTGCGTCGCAAAATTTTGGTCGCTAAATCGGTGGCTATTTCATACATAAATAAAAAAATCATTTAGCGACTGATTTAACGACCGAATTACAAATTGAAATAGTGACCGAATTAAAATCGGTCGCTAATGAGAAAATAATCGATGATTTTATCTGATTTTTACAATATCGCTCAAGCGAAAATAACATGCTCGAGCGACGCCACCTGTACAAAATTGGCATTCTCGGGTTGTATTTCGCTTGAGCGAAACTATTCTCGCTCGAGCGACATCCGATTCAAACATGAGGTCACCCATGTTACATTATCCGGCTAACTTTGATCGACGTTTACGCAGGTCAACATTCGCTCAAGCGAAAGTAACATCGCTCGAGCGACGCCACCTGCACAAAATTGGCATTCTCGGGTTGTATTTCGCTTGAGCTACACTGGTCTCGCTCAATCGATATCTGATGCAAAAATGTGTCAATAAATAAATAAAATATTTGTCACTTTTAAGAGCGGTTAATATTTACACCGCTCTTAAAAATGAACATATAATAGCGGTTCCAAGTGAACCGCTATCATATACAACCACATTTTTTGATTCTGATCGATTATATTTTCAAATGACCGATCATATTTGATAATTTTTTCAAATAATTAATTATAATCGATTAGTTTTCTAAATTATTGATTAGAATTGATTAGTTTTTCAAATAATAGATTATAATTGATTAATTTCTGAAATATATATTAAAAAATTATAATTAAAAATATAAATTATTTAAGAATATTAACTATTATAAGATAAAGTAGAACATGGGAGAAGATGAGGATGATAATATAATGATAGAACTTACAAAAATGTAGAATTGAGAAGTTTAAAACAAAAAAAATTAAGAAAATAGAGATTTAATTAAACTCGTTAATAAATTTAAGATAATACTAGTTTTGATTTTTATTTTTAAATATTTATTTTAATTTTTTAAAACAGAGAAACTAAAATTTTAGTTTCTAAATACTCAATTTAAAGAATTAAATTTATTATTATTTAATCTTTTAATTTTAGTATTAAAAATTTAAATTATATTTTATTAAATTAAAATAATTACAATATATTTTTCTACTTTGAGAATGAACAATATAATTAAACTCAAAATTGACAATATTATAATACATTTTTGAACTCTTTTGGATTATTTTTTTTTCCTAATTTTTGATAAATTTAATTTTAATATTTAAAAGTATTTAACATTTTGAATTCTGAAAGGTTTTCTCTAATAGCAAATTTAAAAACATAATATTCAAAAAAATAGTTAATGTAAGTTTTCATTATGATCGATTATATTTTGAAATGATCGATCATAATTGAAACGATATAATAGCGGTTCCACGTTAACCGCTATCTAAAATATATTTTAGATAGCGGTTAAGGTTTAACCGCTATTAGAAGTGCTTTTAAGAGCGGTTCGAGTGGAACCGCAATCATATACAACCACATTTTTTTATTCTGATCGATTAGACTTTCAAATGATCAATTATATTTGATAATTTTTTCAAATTATTAATTATAATCGATTAGTTTTCTAAATTATTGATTAGAATTGATTAGTTTTTCAAATAATAGATTATAATTGATTAATTTCTGAAATATATATTAAAAAATTATAATTAAAAATATAAAATATTTAAGAATATTAACTATTGTAAAGATAAAGTAGAACATGGGAGGAGATGAAGATGATAATATAATGATAGAACTTACAAAAATGTAGAATTGAGAAGTTTAAAACAAAAAAAATTAAGAAAATAGAGATTTAATTATACTGTTAATAAATTTAAAATAATACTAGTTTTGAATTTTATTTTTAAATATTTATTTTAAATTTTTAAAACAGAGAAACTATAATTTTAGTTTCTAAATACTCAATTTAAAGAATTAAATTTATTATTATTTAATCTTTTAATTTTAGTATTAAAAATTTAAATTATATTTTATTAAATTAAAATAATTACAATATATTTTTCTACTTTGAGAATGAACAATATAATTAAACTCAAAATTGACAATATTATAATACATTTTTGAACTCTTTTGGATTATTTTTTTTTCCTAATTTTTGATAAAGTTAATTTTAATATTTAAAAGTATTTAACATTTTGAATTCCGAAAGGTTTTCTCTAATAGCAAATTTAAAACCATAATATTCAAAAAAATAGTTAATGTAAGTTTTCACTATGATCGATTATATTTTGAAATGATCGATCATAATTGAAACGATATAATAGCGGTTCCACGTTAACCGCTATCTAAAATATATTTTAGATAGCGGTTAAGGTTTAACCGCTATTAGAAGTGCGATTTTAAGAGCGGTTCAAGTGGAACTGCTATCATATACAACCACATTTTTTTATTCTGATCGATTAGACTTTCAAATGATCGATCATATTTGATAATTTTTTCATATTATTAATTATAATCGATTAGTTTTCTAAATTATTGATTAGAATTGATTAGTTTTTCAAATAATAGATTATAATTGATTAATTTCTGAAATATATATTAAAAAATTATAATTAAAAATATAAAATATTTAAGAATATTAACTATTGTAAAGATAAAGTAGAACATGGGAGGAGATGAGGATGATAATATAATGATAGAACTTACAAAAATGTAGAATTGAGAAGTTTAAAACAAAAAAAATTAAGAAAATAGAGATTTAATTACATCGTTAATAAATTTAAGATAATACTAGTTTTGATTTTTATTTTTAAATATTTATTTTAATTTTTTAAAAGAGAGAAACTATAATTTTAGTTTCTAAATACTCAATTTAAAGAATTAAATTTATTATTATTTAATCTTTTAATTTTAGTATTAAAAATTTAAATTATATTTTATTAAATTAAAATAATTACAATATATTTTTCTACTTTGAGAATGAACAATATAATTAAACTCAAAATTGACAATATTATAATACAGTTTTGAACTCTTTTGGATTAATTTTTTTTCCTAATTTTTGATAAAGTTAATTTTAATATTTAAAAGTATTTAACATTTTGAATTCTGAAAGGTTTTCTCTAATAACAAATTTAAAAACATAATATTCAAAAAAATAGTTAATGTAAGTTTTCATTACTATCGATTATATTTTGAAATGATCAATCATAATTGAAACGATAGATTAGCGGTTCTACATTAATCGCTATCTAAAATATATTTTAGATAGCGGTTCTACGTTAATCGCTATCTAAAATATATTTTAGATAGCGATTAAGGTTTAACCGCTATTAGAAGTGCGCTTTTAAGAGCGGTTCAGGTGGAACCGCTATCATATACAACCACATTTTTTTATTCTGATCGATTAGATTTTCAAATGATCGATCATATTTGATAATTTTTCAAATAATTAATTATAATCGATTAGTTTTCTAAATTATTGATTAGAATTGATTAGTTTTTCAAATAATAGATTATAATTGATTAATTTCTGAAATATATATTAAAAAATTATAATTAAAAATATAAATTATTTAAGAATATTAACTATTGTAAAGATAAGGTAGAACATGGGAGGAGATGAGGATGATAATTAATGATAGAACTTACAAAAATGTAGAATTGAGAAGTTTAAAACAAAAAAAATTAAGAAAATAGAGATTTAATTACACTCGTTAATAAATTTAAGATAATACTAGTTTTGATTTTTATTTTTAAATATTTATTTCAATTTTTTAAAACAGAGAAACTATACATTTAGTTTCTAAATACTCAATTTAAAGAAATAAATTTATTATTATTTAATCTTTTAATTTTAGTATTAAAAATTTAAATTATATTTTTTTAAATTAAAATAATTACAATATATTTTTCTACTTTGAGAATGAACAATATAATTAAACTCAAAATTGACAATATTATAATACATTTTTGAACTCTTTTGGATTAATTTTTTTCCTAATTTTTGATAAAGTTAATTTTAATATTTAAGAGTATTTAACATTTTGAATTCTGAAACGTTTTCTCTAATAGCAAATTTAAAATCATAATATTCAAAAAAATAGTTAATGTAAGTTTTCATTATGATATAATGATAAAATAATCGATCATTTTATCTGATTTTTGCAATATCGCTCAAGCGAATTTCACATCGTTCGAGCGACGCCAAGCTGCTAAGATTGTGAAGTCTCGGGTTGTATTTCGCTTGAGCGACACTATACTCGCTCGAGCGACATCCGATTCAAACATGAGGTCACCCATGTTACATTATCTGGCTAACTTTGATCGACGGTTACGCAGTCAACATTCGTTCAAGCGAAAATAACATCGCTCGAGCGACGCCACCTGCACAAAATTGGCATTCTCAGGTTGTATTTCGCTTGAGCGACACTGGTCTCGCTCGAGCGACGCCACCTACACAAAATTGGCATTCTCGGGTTGTATTTCGCTTGAGCGACACTGGTCTCGCTCGAGCGATATCTGATGAAAAAATGTATCAATAAATAAATAAAATATAGTTAGATAGCGGTTAAGGTTTAACCGCTATTAGATGTTCACTTTTAAGAGCGGTTCAAGTGAAACCGCTATCATATACAACCACATTTTTTGATTATGATCGATTACATTTTCAAATGATCGATCATATTTGAAAATATATAATAGCGGTTAAGGTTTAACCGCTATTAGATGTTAACTTTAAGAGCGGTTCCAGTGGAA